TGCGTGTGCGTGTGCGTGTGCTTGTGCGTGTGCGTGTGCGTGTGCGTGTGCGTGTGCGTGTGCGTGTGCGTGTGCGTGTGCGTGTGCGTGCGTGCGTGCATGCGTGTGTGTGCACGTATATGTGAGTGGGTGCGTGTGTGTGTGTGTTCGTGTGTCTGTGTGTGCGTGCGTGTGTGTGTATGCGTGTGTGTGTGTGCGTGTGTGAGTGTGCGTGTGCGTGTGTGTGTGTGTGCGTGTGTGTGTGTGCGTGTGTGCTTGCGTGTGTGCGTGCGTGTGCGCGTGCGTGTGTGTGTGTGTGTGCGTGTGTGCGTGTGTGCGCGTGCGTGTGTGTGTGCGTGTGTGTCCCAGGGCCCCTTCGATATGTGCGGGTCGGGCGCGCGCCCCCGAGGAGAAAACACAGTGTCGGTGTGTCTCCGTGCGTCCCGCTCGAGGCCGTCTCCCTCCTGCTTCTCAGGGTCCCTTTCGGGCGCCCGCGGGGCCTCTCCGCTCCCCCCCCTGCTCGCCTCGCCCCGTCCGCTCTCTTTCCCTTCTCGCCTCGCCCCGCTTCTTGCCGTGGTCCCGCTCTCGGGCCAAGCCTGCGAGCGACGAGGAGGGGGAGGAGGAGGAGGAGGAGGAGGAGGGTGAGGAGGAGGAGGGGGAGGAGGAGGAGGAGCCGAAGCAGGGCTGAACCTGAACGGTGTTTTTCGTTTTCGTTTCGTTTCCGTGTTCCCTCGTGTGGTCTTCAATCCAGCTCTGACGCAAAACGAAGTCGAAACGAAGACGGCCCACGAAATCGCCAGTACACCGTTCAGGTCCACCCCTGAGTCGAAGAGCAACATATCATCGGAGGAGGAGAGTGAGGAGGAGCAGGAGCCGAAGAGAAGAGGAGGAGAAGAAGGAGAAGGAGGGAGGAGAAGGAGGAGGAAGAGGATTCGCTTGCATTTTGCCTAAGTCAGCATACTGTATATGTGCTTGCATCATATCGCTACATGCTTTTGCATCGAGTCTTCGCAACGTCAAAAAGGAGCAGGAATCGAAGAACAACAAATTGTATAAACAACAAACGAAGTTTCGCGCGGAGTTCTTGGAGTCGGTGCTGGGCCCCCCGGGCCCCCCCGGGGAGCCTCCAGCGCCGCCCCTGGAGCGCTCCGCGCGCCAGGGAGGGAGGTTCAGCGCAGACCTGAGAGATCCGCGCAGAACTCCGAAAGTTCCCGTTCATTCAAGTCTGTTCGCTCTTCTAAGGAGAGGAGGAAGAGAAAGAGGAGGAAAAGGAGGAAGACAAGAAGGGAGAGGAGGAGGAGGAGGCGGAGGAAGAGAAGGAAGGAGGAGGAGGAAGAGGAGGGGAGGAGAAGGAGGAGGAGGAGGAGGGGGGAGGAAGAGAAGGAAGAGGAGGAGGAGGAGGAAGAGAAAAATGAGAAGGAGCAGGAGGAGGAGGAGGAGGAGCAGGAGCAGGAGGAGGAGGAGGAGGAGGCGGGGGGTGGGCAGCGCCGGTCGTCGTCCTCGTCGACGTCGCTTGCCCTGGCTAGCTGCTCTGCCGCCTCGGCGAGCTGGGCCACGCCGACGTCAGCTGCGCCGACGAGGCGCAACCCCCCCACTCTGCCTGGAGCGGGAGGAGTTCGATGCTCGTTTTGGGGACCCTTCCTGAGGTCCACCTAATGGATCTCTGTTCGACTCAGGTTCGACTCGAGTTCGACTCGGGTTCGACTCGGGTTCGACTCAGGTTCGACTCAGGTTCGACTCATGTTCGACTCAGGTTCGACTCAGGTTCGATGCAGCTTCGACGCACGAGTGGAGCGAGTGGCTCCAGGAAGGTCCCCAGAATGAGCATCTAAGAGGAGAGCTTCGGTTTTAAATCAGGGGAGCTTGGTACACCCTCTTACAGTCAAGACGCTGAGATAAGGAGCAGTTTGGGTTCGGAAGGGGCTCGATGCTCCTTAGGGTCCTCCAATGGTGTTCCTCTTGCCCTCCTGGGGCACGGAGGCGCTTACAGGGCCAAGGAGGGGCTGGAACGGGAGGAAAGCTTCAGTTTCAAATCATGGGAGCCTGGTAGACAGTCGGGGCCCTGAAGAAGGAACCCTTTTCGTTGGGGAGGGGCTCGGTGTTCCTTGCTTGTTCTGCAGTGTACCTCCGGTTCTCCTGGGGTTTCCCATGGGGAATCGAAGTTCAATGTATGGGAGAAAGGGGCCTCGTCCCTTATTTAGGGTTCCTTAGGTCAACGCCCCGACTGTACCCTCTTACTTCCGTCTTCAGCGTCGACTAGCGTCGATAGTGTTTGGGAGTGGATGAGATAGCGCCGATTTAGCGTCGGCTAGCGTCGATGAGCGTCGATGTAGCGTCGATGAGCGTCGATTTAGCGTCGACTAGCGTCGATTCGCAAGAGCCGACAAACTGGTATGGGAGGCTCCCATGAGTTGCCACCAAAGGAGAAAAGTCTGGTACGGTCAGAATGGGTACGGAAAGAAAGGGGACGAAGGTTGGCAGCAGGTCCTGTCCGTTTTGGCATGAGTTGTCGTCAGTGTCGCCTCGGGCGTTTTTTGTTTGAGACAGGGGTTGGCCTGCCCAACAGCGAACGCTGTCGGTTTTAGACATCATTGACTGTTGGGCATAGTACCCATGATCCCCTTATCCATTTTTGGCTTGCCCAAGAAAAACTGCACCACCACCACCACTAGGAACCATGGAGATGACGGTCGTTACGGAAGGGAGCGGGGGCACGATTCGCGTTAGCGTTGCTTGAGAATGCTCAGGAACGACTTGGCATCGTTCGGACGTGTGCATTGTTTTCTCGGCGAGGACCGTCGAGGAGCATTTTGGATGATCTTGCGAAAAGATAAACGCACGGAATCGAAAATTGCACGTGGAATGGACATCAGAGCGATGATGGTGGCGTCTGCCCAGACGGCGACGGCACGAATCGTGGCGTTACCAGGGAGAGCGGGGCGTTGGCGGAGCCGGTGAGGAACGTATGGGTCGCAGGGGTGCGACCTCCAGCGAGGAGGTCCGCGGTGTTTCTTCGAGCAGGGAAGGGGGACCACACCACCAGGCGGACACCCCCCTCGGCTCCTCGCGCGTGCGGTGGTGGTGTCGGGTGGCAGCGCGCGTTCCGGGAGAGGAAGAAGGCACGATTCGTTCTGGCGCTGGTTGAGAATGTCCAGGAATCCAAACGGCGCCGGCGCGAATCGTAACTTTACCAGGGGGCGCGAGGGGGGGCGGGGCAGGTGACGGGCGTTATTGCGAATGACAAGAGAAGGCCTGCAGGGGAGCGAACTCCAGCGGGATGGTCCACCATGCTTCCCGAGCTGGGGATGGGGGATGTGCAGGAGGGGAAAAAACACACAGACACCATTTAGCGTCGCTTCCCAGGAAGATATGGGAAAATATGGGAAGTGGGGGGGAAGACGAAACTTCAAAAACATGCGAAAATATGGGGAATGCTTTTTTATGTGTGTGTGTATTTGTTTGTGCGTCCTGGGGCCCCTCTGAGATCCCTCTGGGGCCCCTCTGGGGTCCCCTCTGTATTTGTTTGTGTGTGTAGATGTCTCGAGCAGGGAAGGGGGGACCACACCACCAGGCGGAGCCCCTCTGGCTTCTCGCGCCGGCGGTGGCTTGCAGCATTCCTGTCGCGTGTCGTGCTCCTGCGGTCCGCGGGGTCGAGGATCGGGCCGGGCGAAAGGGGGGGATTGGGAAAGGGGCGGATACGAAATTTGCTGCATGCAGCTGGTTTCGGCCCCACCGAGGGGCCCATGCCTCGATACACAGCCGTCTCCGGCGCCGGGAGGCGCCGGGAAAATCAGCTACGTGAGCTGATTTTCAAACCCCCCCTTTGCTATCCCCCCCTTTCGCCCGACCCGAGAGGAGTTCGCGGGCAGGTCGAGCGGTGCCAGGGACGAATCGCGGCACGAGCTCTTGCCGGACGAGTGACCAGCGGATGTTCGACGGATCTGGGCCGTGGGGGCGACGGGCAATAGCGTCTGGCGCAGCATGGCGCACCATGGCGCACGGTTCGAGGAGGCGTCTGGGGAGGCCGAGGGACCAAGGTAGATTTGCCAAGGGGGTTCAAGAGATGTTGTGTTGTGCAGGTCTTGTTGCAACAGCGTACAGACGACGGCGCGCATCCAGAACGCTACGCGGAAGGCTGATGTCACGGCAAGATGTATGCCAAAGATTTGCAGTCCCAGCGTGGGTTGAATGCACAGTTGTTTCAGGTTCTTATGGCGCTTGAGAAGGCAGCGACACGGATCAGCCACTCCCCGTCTGTTTATTTGTTTTTCTCTCTCTCTCATTGGTTCTCTCTCTCTCTCTCGCTCTCTCTCTCTCTCTCTCTCTCTCTATGTATACATTTACATGTATATCTATACTTGCATATCTGTATATGTATGTAGGTCTGCCTTTCTCCGTCTCTCTCAGTATTTCTCTCTCTCTCTCTCTCTCCGTCTATACTTTAATCGGACATCGCATGCACCGAACAAAGACATGTGCCAGAAAGATGTTGGTGCAGACTTACCCTTGAGGGTGGCCCTCTCGAAGTTGCCCGCGTAAGGTCGCGCGTAAGCGCCCTCGTTGCCAATGCAGCGCGTCGCGCTCTCGGCCCGCGTAAGCCACCGCTGATGCTCGTTATGTCAGCTCGCGTAAGACCCGTTTATTTTCGTGGCCCCTTCTCTTCCTTTCTGGCAGCCGCCTTTACCCGCACGATCCACTTGGGCCATGGGCACCTCCTCGACCATCTTGGGCAAGTTTAGAAGTCAGCTGCTGCTTCTTGGAATCATACTTGCCGGTGCTTGGGGCATGTGGACATCCCTGAAGCCAAAATTTGAACCACCTTGGAGCATCCGAGGGAAATGTTCGGCCATGGGCGGGCGCTTCTCATTTGGCGGGCCGCCGCCATGGGCTGAGGGAGCGCCTGGCGAGGATGCAGACCCTGGACAAGGTCTGTCTTTCCTCCTCGCGCTGCACTTTCTCGCCCTCGTCCTTCTCCGCAGCCATTTGGGCTGAACCTATTTTTTTTCGCAAGCCAGGGACAGGCAGCTGAGTAACGTGTACGAAGGTCATGGGGCTCGACAGCGGCAAGCACGGCGGCGGCCACGGCCGCTACGACAGGAGGGATTACTACCAGGCCGACTACAGCGATTATTCGGCCAGCAGCACCCTGTCAGAGAATTGTAAGCGCACCGCGTCTGTGCGATTCGCCGAGCCAGCAGACTCCGAGCCAGCGGCGCTGCAGGAGTTCGAGAAGAAGCTAACCAACGTGCAGAAGGATTTCGCCAAGCAGCTGCAGAGCATGAGCGAGAAGGACACCGAAAAGTTCGATGCAGCAGGTTGACGCTATCACCGGCTGGCTCCCTTTGTTCTAGTCGTTCGTGACGTCTGCTCAAAGGTAGACTGCCTTGCTCCTCACCATCACCCTTTGCATCGATCTCCTCCTACTCCTCCTTAGCCTCCTCCTCCTTCCCCATGCCGTCCCGTCCCCACCCCTTCGCAACGATATTATCCTCCTCCTCCTCCCCCTCCTCCTCCTCCTCCTCCTCCTCCTCCTCCACCTTCTCCTCCTCCTCCTCCTCCTCCTCCTCCTCCTCCTCCTCCTCCTCCTCTTCCTCATCCTCCCTCCTCCCTCCTCCCTCCTCCCTTTCTCCGTGTTCCTTCCCTGCCTGCGTCCCTCACTTCCTCATTTCCCCTCCCGCCGTCCCTCCCATCCCCTCCTGCTCCCTGCCGCCGACGGCTGGCTCTTGCTGCCGCACGCTGCTGCCAGCCGACGTTTCGTTGCCGAGTGCCTCTGCTCGGCCACCCCGCGCGCCTCCCCACGGCCTCGCCGCGCGAGTGCGCCCTCCGTTCCCTCCTCCTGCTTCTGCGGCCGCCCCATCGACGTTTCTCCTCCCCTCGCGCGCGGGTCGATTCGCAGCACCGCAGCCCGGGTTGTTTGGCCGCGTGTGCGGACGGCCTTCTGCCGCGCGGCGACGTCAACAAGGTGTGTGTGTGTGTGTGTGTGTGCGATGCGTGTTGTTGCGTGCTGCACCCGATGACCGTTGCTGCTGTTCTGCTGCTGGTTGGTGCCGTCCCCGGCTAGATGGTTGGCTAGTTCGCCGACGACGGTTCCCTTACAGTGCTTCGCCATAGGGTTCTAAGAGAGATCAGAGATCGCCTCGCGGAGCTCATCCTTGGAAGTGTCCCTCGACGTCGGCGCGGTGTCGGCGTCGCACTGTTCCCTCGCCCCAGCTCGAGGGTGGTGCGCCCTGGGTCAAAACACAGCGGTGCGCCCCAGAAGCGCTCCAGGTGCCTTCGCATCGCTCGGACGTGTGCGTTTTTCCTTCGGCGAGGACCATCGAGGAGCATTCTTGATCATTTGGCGACAAAACCACGCACGAAACCCAAAAAAAACACAGGGAATGGACGTCCGAGCGATGGCCAGGTGCACTCCGTGCGTTGCCGCTCAGGTATCCTGCGCCTCAGGTCCACAGTGGTGCTCCCCAAGACCGCGCCAGGTGCACTCCGTGCGCTCCCTCTCGAGGATGGTGCGCCCCAGGTACAGAATCAGGGGGCCACCTGCGAACCCTACCCCTAACCCCCCGCGATTTCTGAGGGGGAGGGTGGGGTTCACTTCGTTCGGGAGCTCCCAAGCGAAGTGAACCCCACCCTCCTCAGAAATCGTCGGGGGTAGGGGTAGGGTTCGCATGTGCCCCCTAAGAATCCAGAGCGCGCGGTGGGGGCACGGAGGGTTCTCGCCATTCCACGTCGCCCGATAGCGCGGCAGGCGCAGAGGAGGCTCACCGCTCCAGGCCTCGGAGGTCCAGAAAGCATGGCAGGGCGCAGGATCCTCACCAGTCTAGGTTCCCCAGGTTCAAATCTTCGACTTTTGATGTTCAAACCTATTTTAGCCTTGATCACCAGAAAGAATTTCGAGCACCAGGAAAAAGGACCGACACTCGAAGGTTTTCACGTGTCGGGCCCTGGGAGACACTTGTCCGACATTGTTTCGACATTGTTTCGACACCCTTTCGACTCTTTTCCGGGTGCTCGAAATTATTTCTGGGATGTGGTTTTCAAGTACGATGGGAACAACATAATCTGCGAGTTACGCATGCAAACATTATCTGAAGCTCTACGGGATCTACACTGGAACGCTAGCGTCCCGTTGTTGACGTGCTTTGTTGGGATGGTGCTGCTTATGTTGGAGGGTCTCGGGGCACGTGTGGAGGCTCTTGGGGGCGCTTGGGGGGCATCTTGTGTGGTCTCGGGGCATCCTGGGGACCCCGCCGCTATGACATTGTTGAGCTGCAAGATGGCTATATGTGAGCCCTCTAGATGGGCCGTATTGGGGATCTCTTGTGGCCGTCAGGGGGTGTCTTGATGCTTTAGTTAGGCCGTCCTGGCTTCCACAAGTGAGTTGGAACGTGGAGGCATCTTATGGCGTCGTGGGCTGCTCTGGAAGCTTTTTTGGTCTATCTCGGGGCCCGTCTGGGATGCCCTGAGGAATTCTTGGTTTTCTCGTCTGTTGGATTGGAGTCTTCCGAAGTCATTTGAGTCCATCTGGGGCCGAGAAACCAGGAAAGCCGAAGCACCCCAAGGCATGTAGATTCCAATGAAATGTGGGTGATTGGCGCCTGCCTTGGGGTCTTTATGGGGCCGCTCGTGCGCTTCTTGGAGCCTCCTGGGGCCCCCTGGGCCGTCTCGGAGGCAGTCCTGGATCCTGGCGGCCTCTGGTGGCATCTTTGCGCGTTCTGAGGCTCCAGATCCTCCGCGGCCCTTCTGAGGGTCCCCTGGGGATGCAATCCGTTGGCTGCGAAAAGCGAGCCCACAGGAGAGGGGCCTGGGAATAGGCAGACATCTCCACGCGCATGTACCCATCGGGTCGGCGAGTCTCATCTTCGCGATCCTGACGGATCTGCAGTCCGGCCAGGAGCAGATCGAGGAGTCCATTAGGGACATCAGGAAGGCGGTCGGAGGCGCCCAGAACATGGGCAACAACGGCCAGTTCCAGTACCTCCAGATGGAAGGCGTGCTGGGCCCGCCGCTGGGCCCAGGGATGGGCGGCCAGCAGCCGCAGCCCATGCAGCAGATCGTCATCCAGCCCAACGGAGGCCAGGCCATGATGATGCCGCAGATGGTGATGGTCGTGCAGTCTCCCACCGGCGGCATGATGATACCCCAGATGCAGCCCATGCAGCCCATGCAGCAGCAGGTGATGCTCGTCGGGCAGAGCCCCGTCGGCCAGGAGATGAGCCCGGCACTCGGGGGCTGCGGCGCCGTGGCCGGCGAGCAGTGCGCGGACGGCGGCGAGGGGCAGGTGCCCCTGCTGGCGGACCTCGGCAAGCACGAGGGCAGCGACGTGGACTCGACCGACACCCCGACGACGGGCCTCTCGGAGTGAGGTGGCCTCCCAAGAAGAACAGACAGCATGAGCCTAGACTCTTGGCGCTCCGCGAGTTTCTTGGATCCGCGCCGGGCCCCCTCGGCGGCGCCCCTGGCGCCGCCCCTGGCGCGCTCCGCGCGCCAGGAAGGAGGTTCTGGCCCGGATCCAAGAAATCCGCGCGGACCTCCAAAATGTGATCCTTATGCTTCGGGGGCCACATGCGAACCCTGCCCCTACCCCCCACGATTTCTGAGGGGGAGGGTGGGGTTCACTTCGTTCGGGATCCCGAGTGAAGGGAAATCGTGGGGAGTAGGGGCAGGGTTCGCATGTGGTTTAAGCACTGGCGAAGCGTTCTGGCTCGCCTATAGCCCTACCAAACAATGTTCTAAGAACCTTTTGTGGTTTCCACGCAATGTTCTGAGAACATTTCTGGCGAAGTCTGTCTTGTTTTATCGCATCGGGTCTATGTTCTAAGAACATTGTTTTGGTTCCAAAAACATGTTTGGGTTATGAGCACAATTCGTGGCAGGACTATAGGAATGCCGGGACGGTCGGTCCCTGCTCAAGTGGCCCCCTGATGCTGTTTCTTCTTCCTCCAGGCGTGAAGTGGCCTGCTCCAGGCTCGAGGGGGGCAGAAATGGCACAGGCACCTCGGCGTCGCTCGGACGTGGGCTTCTTTTCCCCGGCGAGAACCATCGAGGACCTTCCTGGACCATCTGGCAGAAAAGACGCGCACGAAACCGAGACATGCACGGGAAATGGGCGTCCGAGCGACGGCAGGGCACAGCCGCCCGACGGCCCGCGCGGACCTGCCGCAGCCACGCCGCACCCCCCCCCCCGCCGGCGCGCGGAGCGCAAGGGGGCGGCGCCGGAGGCGCCGCCGTGGGGGGCCAGCACGGGTCCGAGAGACCCGCGTGGACCGTCGAACGTGAAGTCGGGCGTGTCCCCCTACGGTAGGTTTGCGTCGTGTCGACCAGCGGCGACCCCAGCGCGGGCGTTCAAGGTTGAACGCCGACGGCGGCCCAGAATCGGTCGATGTTGAACGATCGGACGTTGCGGAGACGGCCGATCGTTCAAGGTTGAACGATCCCTGCGGTGTCAAAAACCAACGCTGGGGTCGGCACGACACGAACCTGCCGTACAGGGGGAGTGTGGACGAAAAGCTGAAAATGCTCAAGAAAGATGCTCCCACGGGGCAAAAAAGTCGTCCCCCGACGATTTCCTCCCGTAGAGGGACAGGCCCGACTTGAGTCGATCGTTGCTGTGTGTGCGATTTCTGCTTCCTCTGAGGCAGCAGGGCGTCGTCGGACGTACAGACTCGGCCGCCTCGTCAGAGGTGGGGGCGCCTCCTTCGGGGGGAGTCCCGGCTCCGCTTGGGGCGGGGCGGCCAAGATTTTGGCATCCCGGATCGCTACACGTGCCTAATTCGATGGGTCCGCCCTGGCTTGGGAGGTGTGAGGTGGGAATCGGGGAACAAAAAGTGGCATAAACATAAAAACTCGGAGGTCCGCGCGGATTTCTCGGATCGGCGCCGGGGCCCCCCAGTGGCGCCTCCGGCGCCGCCTCTGGCGCGCTCCGCGCGCCAGGGAGGGGGTTCAGCGCCGACCCGACGAAATCCGCGTGGACCTCCGAGTTTTTATGTTTATGTCACTTGTTGTTCCCCTAGGGAAGGCGGAGAAGCAGCATCTCTAGAACACCCAAGTGGGGCTGGAGCCAGATTCTCTCCATCCCGACCTCTCGAACTGATCGGCGCGATCCTCCGACACCATGCACTACGGTCCCTTGCGGGAGGTCTCCAGCATCGGAGGAATGGAATATCACGTCCACCACCTGCAGAGAGGTGACATACCATCCTCCAGTACCATCAACTCTGGTCCCATTAGGGAGGCCTTCAGCATCAGCGGAGGGCAGATCACAACCCACCATCTCCACCATATGGAGGGGGATGGCCAGATGGGGGGAGCCACTAGCAACAATGGTGGTGGCAGTGTAACATCACCGTTCTCGACGCGTTCGCGAGACATTCCGCACACCAGCACCCCGCAAAACAGCTCAGCCTGCATCCCTGAGGCAGATGGTGGTGGCAGTGTACACCGTTCTCGACGCGTTCGCGAGACATTCCGCACACCAGCACCCCGCAAAACAGCTCATCCTGCACCCCTGAGGCGGTGCTGGTGATGGAGTTCGATTCTACTCTCCGCACGCACGCACACTTTTTGATTTTTCGTCGCGGCCCCGCGCGCGGCAACGGGGCGTAGAACCACACATCCACACACACACACACACACACACACACACATTCACACACACACACACAAACAAACACACACACACACACACACACCACACGAACCGCAGGGAAAGATGGATCATCTCTTTCCAGGGCTACCGTCATGGTCCGGTCGCCGCCGTGCTCACATCTCCCGACCGCCAGCCCAGCGTTGCCCCGCCATTTGGCGTCTCTTCGTCTCCACCTCCCTCCCCACCTCCTCCAACGCCCTCCTTCTCCCCCCATCCTGCTCCTCCTCTTCCCGCCTCCTCCTCCTCCTCTTCTTCCTCCTCCTCCTCCGCTTCTTCCCTCCTCCTCCCGCCTCCTCCTCCTCCTCCTCCTCCTCCTCCTCCTGCTCCTCCTCCTCCCCCCCAAAAAAACGCCCCCGAAATCTTGCCACGACAGCCCCCCCTCAGACCCTCCCGCCTCCCTCCCTCCCGCATTACCCCCCTTTTCCCCCCTTCCTCACCCCACCCCTCCTTCCCCGCTCCCTGCGCGAGGGCGGGGAGCTCGAGCGCGCGAACCCCCCCCCGCGCGCGCCGCGGCACGCGGAGGTTGCGGGGGGGGAGGGGCGAGGCCGCGAGCAGCTGGCAAGCGGGAGGGCCCAACAGACAAGCCCTTTTTGTTCCCGCTCGTTCGCGCCCTCACTCGAGGGGGGGGAGGAGGAGGAGGAGGAGGAGGAGGAGGAGGAGGAGGAGGAGGAGGAGGAGGAGGAGGAGGAGGAGGAGGAGGAGGAGGAGGAGGAGGAGGAGGAGGAGGAGGAGGAGGAGGAGGAGGAGAGAGGAGGAGATGATTCGTGTGCAACCCCATCCCTCCATCATTCCTCTTCCTCCCTTTCCTCCTTCTTGCCTCAGAGGAGCAAGAGGTCATGAGAATGATACGTTCCAAAGGCTGCTGCATGTCCAGGAACTCGCGGATTCCAGAATAGTCCACACAGGCTGCAGAAATGCGGCCCGTTAGATACCCTGGACATCCTGGAACGCATCCTGAGCCAATGTATCATGATAGTATGTCCACCCTCTTTGATCCTTGTCGTTTTCTGTCTTCCCGCTTTCTTCCCGCTCCTCCTCCGTTTTGGCTCACGACGTTTGCAGTGGGCGTTGTCGGCCAACCGGCAAGACTGGGAGACCCGTCAGCCGGGGATTGCTGGTTTCGTGCTTGTTCCTCGTGGGTTTGCATCGGCGCGCGGGGCGCGCGGATGGCAGGCGGCAGCGGTGCTAGTGGCGGGCGCGGCGGCGACAAGGCCAAGATGGGCGTCGCCGTGGGCTGCGGTTGGGTCTTCAAGTGCGGGTATTACCGTTTCGGCGGGCGCGAGATGTGTCGCAAGGGCGGGTGCAGCGGGGTCAACCCGTGCACGCGGCAGCCCAAATTGGGCCAGAATGGAGATCGTTTGCCTCCTGGTGTAATGCGGTTCCGTGGTGGCCCTCCTCGCGCGCCCGCTGGCGGCGGAGCGACGGATGGTCCTGGCGGAGGCTGTCGCCCCCCCTTGGTCAGGGACCACCGTGGCCCCTTGACGTGACGATGGCGAAGTCACCGAGGACAATCGCGGCTGGCTGCTCAAGATGCCCGTGGGCGAGTGCGAGATGACGGGCCGCTTCCTCCTGCCTGACCAGCGCGGCGAGGTGCGCCAGGCCAGGTGGTTGGCCGACGAGGCGTCGGGCGACCTTCGCAGCGCCAAGAGCGCAAAGGCGGCGCAGCACCATGCCGACGAGAAGGCGCGGCAGGTCCAAACGGCAGAGACGGTCATCGCGCAGGCCAAGACCGACGCGTTCGAGGCCATGCGCGTGGCGCACAAGGTGGAGGGTCGACTGCGCTAGCCGAGTTGGACGCGACCTCGGCCAAGGTTCAGGAGGCTGTGGCGCGAAGCGAAGCGGAGCCTGCGAACCCCGCGGGAGCGGTTGCCAGCGATGCCGCGCGGCATCGCCCTTCGGCAAGCTTCTCGAGATGGCGACCGAACTATCCGAGAAGCGCGGGGGCCTCGACTTCAGGGCCGCAGCGGGTGCCGCTGGGCCAGGCGCCCACCCCGCTCAAGCCAGCCCCCCCCCCCCCCCTGGCTCCTGCAGCGGAGCTTCGCCCTGCCGGCCAGCCCGCCGCGGCCGCGGCGCCTGCGCCTGAGGGGGTCGCCAGGGAAGGCTGCCCACGATGGCGCGCGCGGAGCGTGACCTCGCGGAGATCCGCGACAGCCAGTCGCCAGTGGAGGTGCCAGGGCGCGCGCGCATCTGCAAGGGCGGCGCGCCCCTGGCCGACGCGCGCCTCGCGGCGGGGGTCGGCATGGGCGCCGGCAAACACGGCGCGCCGAAGGCTCCCGCGAGGAGGCTCGCGCAGCACAGGAAGCCGCGCATCGCGGGCGGCGACTTCACAATGACGGAGGACGTCGCCCAGCAGAGCGGCCTCCACGGAGCGTTCGACACGGTTTCGGCTTCGCCTGCAGCTGCGACGCGCGCGGCATCAGACAAGGCCATCGACCACTGCTTGGCGCCCCGCGCGCCGGTCACACATGAGATCCGGCTCGCGGAGAGCACCCCGGCGCAGCCGAGCCCCGTGGCGGCGCTGCTCTCGAAGGCGCGCGCCGACATGCCCCGGCGCCAGGCGGCCCCTGCGCCGAGGCCCTCCCCGAGCCAGAGGCCCCGCGGGCGCGGCGCACTCCACCCTGGCGCTCGGCGGCAGCCTGTCGGCCAGGAGATAATTGGCCCCCCGGTTCAAGGCCTGCGCCCCGCCCGCCCAAACGCGCCGCCCCCCCGGCAGGGGC